CTCTTGGAGGAGAGACGAAACGTTTCATTAAAGAAGAACCCGTCCAGAAGACCTATACTATTTTTTTTCTTTTTTCAGATAAACTGTCTAAATTGTGCCTAAAACGTATTATCTTTGTATTTCTGGGCAAGTTTTGACATTTTTGTGTAAATTTATTTAATTTTGCAATATTTGATCTAAAAACGTCTTGGTGCTGCCCTCTATGGGTTGATGTTGGCTACTGTAGTTGATTTTTCTTATTGGTTAAAACAGTACAGCTTGTTACAACTTGCGCTGTAAACCCAGTCTTTTTACACAAGAGATGGTGAGTAAAGCAAACTATTGAGGTAATTTAGTTAATAACAAACTTTATTTTSAGGGGAAAACGAGGAAAATAACACATTTTCTCCAAAGCGACCTGTCATCTCAGCGCAGCAACAAACTGCAGCTACGTTTGGACAGCAACAATAATGACAAACTCTGCGCAATTATTTGTTTACCCTGACAGGAAAGTTATCTGCTCTGGGTCAAATATAGGTGAGCATTTGGTCCGGACCTGTAAAAGGACTATGGGCTTATTTTTTCCTTTTTTTTTTCCACAACCCGTCAATGTACTGGAGAACGGATGGTTGCGCACAGGTTTGGGCCAGATGTGGCACAAAATACAAAATTCTTATTTTATTTTTAGGCTGCTTTGGTCGACACGGATGGGATCAGAGTCAAAATGTCAGGATCATGATCAGCCCGATTCAGAGCTGGCACATGTGTAAACCCTGTTCTCCATGGGTTGTGCGCACCACGCCTCATTTAAATACTTTATTAATTTATTATCAAGAGTTTGTTCTCATTTTTACATCATTATAGTTATGAAGTGTACTGCCTTCTGGAGAATACTACACAAACAAAAGCATTAAGTAGATGAGAGGGAGAGGGAGAGGGGGACGGACGGACGGACGGATGGGGAGAGGCCTGGGCCCGGCGCCATTGCTTCTGGTTATGACAGTCACAGTCTTGAAGCGAGTAGTTGAAGCAAAATGCAGTGTCTGAGCTCTTTTATCATAAACAAACATGCCCACAAACTTCAGACGAATCAAACAACGTGTAAGGGAAGTGACTTATGTAAAATAAGGCTCCCTACATCTTCTCATAACAAAGTTATGAGAGAAAWTTTTTACCAAGGTTTTTCCTCATTACTTTAATATTTGTCTGTACAAAGTGAAGAGTGGCACAATAAGGGAACGTCAGACGAGTTCAAGTTGATTCATAAAAGATTATGCAATCATTTATTTACACACATTGAACAAATCATACGTTACACCTGATTGTGGATTTCCTATAACAAGCGTCTAAGTTAAAATGAGATAAAAACCGCGTCCGACTTTTCTTTCACATTAACTCAGATTACTTATATAGAACAGTAAAACGTCAGCTTAGATGTAATAGCTAAACAATTTACTGGCACTTTCACTTAGGGTTGGCAAAGGAAAAGGTAAGAAAAGGGTAAGAAAATTAAGGATTAGTGTTTCTGCTTTTATTTTGGAAAGTCTGTGACAACCGGATTAGCAGGTCCTCTCTGCTCTCGGCCTTCAACTTGACACG